CTTTGCACAAACTGGCTGGCACGTTCACCAACAAAAGACAAATGTTACTTTACAGCATATCCTGTGAAACTCTTTGAGACATCCAAAACGTGATAAGGATTATAGGATTATTATAACATTCAATGCACAGTATGATTCTGATTTTGAAAATGCTCGATTGAAATTAGAATCCATGCCAGTTGAATCAGTCCAGCTCCCATCCTCTCATTTCTCTCTCAGCAATGATTTAAGCATAGAGCCCTGGCAGGGTTCCTCAGTCGCAATGGCTATGCTTTCACCAGGAAAATCCATGTAAGATTTGAAATGCTAACATTTAATTTTTTTTAAATTTAAAAAACCTCCAGAACAGGATTCTTTAAAAAAAACTGTACATCTGTTTTTCAAATCTAATGATATAAAATTTGAAATCAGAACTGCATAACAAATAACTGAAGCTAAAATACACAAGTATCCACTTTCAAACATTGTCCCTTCTCTGGACTGAATTAATCTACATGATATGGTTGAGATTTCCTGATGATGTGAAAGAACATAGGATAAAGAATACTTGACAGTGATAATTAATCTGTGAGCAAAGTGCCTAAAGCAAACTAGATTCATTAAAATAAAGAACTGCTAGTTGACTCAAAGGCATTGCTTAATGGATATACCGTCTATATTTTATTGTAAATTATTTTACTTGAATTCTTATTTTGATTGTAAACATTCCTTCAACTCAAGAAATGAAGGAAGCTCACAGTTGGGACATCTCCCTACCCGTTCATGAAAATTGTCCGCTTCAGTATTTAGCAGTAAACTTTTTCCATTTCTAATATTTTTATTAAAATTTGAGATTTCAAACAATCACTTGCACTGACCATGTGACATTTTTCAGCAAAACGCTTTTTGAGATGATATATTTCAAATCCAGGAAATTTCTATGGATTTCAACTATTTGCTGCTGGGTTTTGTTTGCACTGTACAACCAATTTTGTCTGAAACACAATGTTCCAGCATCATATAGCATTACTGTTGATGTGAGTGTCAAGCAAATCCATTAACCCTGACTTAATTAACTAATTTCACCCACAAAATACACAGTTAATTCACTTTACAGTATCTTCCGGGAAGCTCTTTAAAATGACTCGAAGACGAGATAAGGCTCTATATCAAATGCAAGGATTATTATTATTATTAACATTATTATTTGGATGCATTCTGAAGGAAAACAGTAATAAATTATCCATATAAAGTATTTTACTTTATATTCTACATTCTGATATTTAACTGTTAAATTATAATGCCAAAACTTAACCATATAATAAATATTGTGCGCAGAAATGACTTGAGGATTACGCATGTCTGCTTCTCATTTTGTTCCAGAACATATTAAAAATAATTACAACAGGTGCGCACTGATGAGAAATATTGGCCTTTACCAAGTTAAAGTTAAATCAGCAAAATGTGCTTCAATGAATGTTGATGCATTTCTGGACCTTTAATCACACAATAAAGCCTCTTATTAATCAAATTTTCTCCTTCTGAAGCTGTACAATTTTTATAAATGGAACTAGTAAATAGGTGTTGAATGAGTGTTTCACTGAAAAGTGCAATAAAAAGACAATCTTGGAATACATAAGCCTTAATGTTATTCGATATTCTCAAGATAAATCTAATGCTGTGCTGAGCATTTGTTCATTTCAAATGTGCTTATTACTACTGTGGAGTTGAAATTAATTACTACTGGAACAAAGGGATAATGATAATTATTGTTTATAATGCTAGATATATAAAAGTAGCACATGACCCAATCCATTACAGAAACACAATCTTGTTACAGCCATCTAGTAGCCATCATTCATTTTGTTGAATTATTTATTTTGGTCTATGACAAACACTTGCAATAAGCACTCAGACACCATGGAGTAATACCAAGCATAAAAGAATTTATGATGGATCATAGGGAAGTAACCGGAGTAACAGTAGTACTACAGCATAAATCCGGATGATAACAAAAAATGTATGAGTGACGAGCACAGAGCAACCAGACAGGCAGACAAACTTTTCACAGGCAGACAAACCTGAAGTATGACATTTTCTAAACTGAATGTTATTAAACAGTTACATGATTTTCAAAAGCATTTCATATGTTGTCCTGGAATTATACTTCCAAATACGAACTGTGCATGATTAGTTTACACAGAGTAAGGGTGTTATTCGATTTCATTCTAAGCTCGTTATATAAAAAATTATGTGATTGCATTAATAAGCTCTGAAATACAGCCAAGATACTAGACAAAACATTAATTTTAAAGTCACACAATTTAAAACATCTCATATATTCCATTATGAAGATTTCTAGTACTGATCATGAAGCCGTCATCAAACATGGGTTAGTACAAATCTATTTGAATTTAAAATTCAAAGATCTTTAGCAAGGCAATTTATGCATCAATAACTAATAAGCTAATCATCTACGACTACAAAACTTAAGAAATATATTGATCTTGATGATTCACAGGATCCATAAACTGCCAGTTTTAGTCATTTGTATAGTAGCCCAAAATGTTTTAAAAAGCAGTAAATGATAGAATGGCATGACTTACACACAGAGATGCTGAAATAAAGCCGGGGTGGGAGAGAAATCTGATGTACCAGTAAAATCAAAATCCTTTCTTTGCTAACCTGTAATTTGAGATCAATCATGTTTTGGCTAAATTTTCGCCAGGTCAGAAAGGAAAGATCACCATGCATTTATTACAAATAAAATTTCCTTTTTCTATCAGACATATTGGGTATGCTGTAATTAGTTTCTGATCACCATCGCATTGAATGGTTATCATATAAGCCCCTCATATAAAAAAAAAGCGGGCACGTCAAATACTCAGCAGAGCAGGCTTTGATAGCAGAAAATTAAAACTCAATAATATATCTTAGGATTTGCTATAGATAGTAAGATCCACCTGTTTAATGAATTAAACAACCTTTCTTGGCTTTCTTTAATATAATCCTTGGTTAGGCCTTCCAAAGGAAGGAGGGGGCAGGTTGGTAAAGTTTTAGAATGTTGCAGAAGTAGGATGAGGAAAGACCTTGAAGGGATTTAAAAGTGAGCAGACCTCCGGGGGATGGGGAGCCAGTGGAGCCGGGGAGGATGGGTGTGAGGGAGAGCTGCACAATTCTGAATAGTCCACAGATTGTGGAGTAGAGTTGCAAATTCCAGCAATCAGAGTCTAGAGGCTAGTCTGAATGTGATAAAAGCATGAATAAGGGTCTCAGTGAGAGGTGTGGGAAAACTGAGCAGGTTAGGCCACCGATATGGGGGTTAAAGGATAGTTGAGTCGAACAAGACACCAAGGTTCTGTACTGGTTCAATGAGGTGTGTGCATCTGATCTGGGTAGATTGATGCTGTCAGCTACAGAGCCTCTGCTTGACCATATTCAATTGGAAAAAGTTATCTCTCATCCAGGAGTTGATGTCTTGACAGGCGTTCAGTCAGAACAGCAGTGGTCTGGGAATCGAGGGTGGAAGCAGAGAGATAGAATAGGCTATCCATCATCAGAATACATGTGGAAGTTAACTCCATGGCTGTGATGACATCGTCAAACGGGAGCATTTAGATATTGAAGAGAGGAAATGAATGAAATTTGTTTTATTTGGGGGGGGGGGGAGAATTCTTCATCCATCAACATGTAGCATAGCATACCTGTGCCTCGATGAATCAAATTTTACAATTTTACAATTAAGTAAGTTTTCATAAATTTTCTGCCCAATTACTGAACAGGTATAATTGAGGAGCATGAATACCATTTTCCCACCATTATTCAGAGGACTTGGAATATGGGGAAACCTGCACGCAATAAGGAATTGCATTCAAATGAGCTTCTCTGCATTATTAAATCACTTCTTGTGATTTAGTGCAATCATAACATGAATTCATTTCTTTATCGTTTTACAAAAATCCTTAACGAGAAAGCAAACGTCTTCAAAATGCCAAAATATTTGCATGAAAAAGTACAAACAGCTACAGCTTTATCTTAAGGGGTGATATGAAATAAATCCATTGAAACAGAGAGTCAATGCATCTCGACAAGGTCGAGGGAGATGGGAATGAAGGAGCTTATAAGTGATAGTTATGGAAGAGCTGAAGGTTGTGGAATTGGGAAAGCCAGTAAAGAAAGTGTTGACATCTATCTTGAAGCATGGATAAATGTTATTATATATTTATTATTATAAATGTTTTAGTACATCATATTTAAATCATTGTCATTCTTATTGTCATTTGTTATAACTGAGTGGACATACAGGATGTCCTAATATAACAATAAGATTATTCTTCTCTTCCCCAGGAAATGCAGTCGTTTAAGACCTTTTTATACTGCATTATAAGTTATGATTTTTTTTAAGATCCAATATTTGTTACTCTTGAACCACAGCCTATATTATAGGACACAATAACATTCATGGATATTTCACATCATTAAAAAAAAATCTTCAGGAGCTATTGCTTCACAAAGTCTTATTCAAGTTTAAAATGTAACACATTGAACTAAATAATGTACAATATAGGCTGATGAAAATAAATTGGCTTCAACATAAACTGCATCTGTGTTAAAATTACTGTAATTTTCATAACCTGATAAATCAAGACTGGGTTGACTAAACAATTGCTGCCCATCAATATCATTCACTGAGTGTTGGATTATTCTAGTGGGTCACTTGATAAGCAGTTGTCTACTAAATTGAGTAATTTCACAATTACTATAACAGTAACAGCAAAGAAGAAAATACCAAAACATTATGCTATGGTGTCAGCTTGGCTCAGTAGCAATCTTACTCTTAGTCAGACTATTGTAGGTTCAAGCCTTACATCAGGACTTAGAATCACACATGCTGAGGGACATAACTGCACGTGCAAGCTCTGCCTATGGCAAAAGAGACATCAAAAGAAGAGCCATACATCTCTGTAATGTCAGCCTTGCCTGGTCAATCTCAAGCAAATGTTCCAAGACTCAGTACTTACGTTTTTGCAGTGACATCAACAAACTGTCCAGGACGAAAGTGCGCAGCATACAATGGAGTACCTTAAATACAACAAAAGTAAATTAAAAACACCTTTCAGAAGTTTGAGATTAAGCAACAAGAATTATTTTTTAAAGGTTGTCATTCATGTTAGTTACAACAGTACCACAAAAGTCCTTTTAGGCTTGGAATTAAAAAAATTGTCTAATGTTTTCAGTGTCTCAGGTGTATATAACTTTAATGATATGGGATTCGTTGAATCTCATTTTTTTTTTGGTCAGCTGGGTGACTGACACATGCGGAAAACCATGCTTCACAATGCTGAAGAGTATCCCTCTCAGTTTGGGTTGGCTGAACCCCCAAAACACGAGATTCAATGAGAGAACAGGGGGAGCAGATAACAACCTAAATTGCTAATATCTAGCTTTTGGCTGGTTGAAAGATTGGGTCTTTGAAACCATTTACTGCTAATGGAAATGTTCCCACCTCGAAAACAGATACAGTGAACCTCACAAGAGTCATATCAATTGGGACCATATATTTAATATGACGTATCCAAAGTATGAGTTATGTGAAACTTCATAAATTGTAGGAAAGTCAACAGGACTTGGGCAGATGTATGACTTAGACGATTATACGATTAATGCAGATCAGATTTACGCGAGTTTTACTGTAGTGGGAAGCAGGAATAATTTAGTGTTAGTATTGTGATGGGCCACTTAAGTTCAAAAAGCTAGCCGGCATGCAAGAAGCAAGGGGGTCAGCTGCACAATGAATGTGACTATCCTATCATCCCAAATAAAATTGTTCATGTGGCATTTGCTGTGCACAAATTGACTGCTGTGTTCACCCATAAAATACACCTTCACACTACTTTACAGTGTAAAGTGTTTTGTGATGTCTTGACAGTGTGATAAGGAGTTATATCAAATTCAAAGATCATTATTATTATATGAACTGTGGTATAAGCAAATTATCACTAGAGTGAAATGCGTTACAAAGGGACTGCATTGTACACAATTGATTTACAGGTAGTCAGAAATTCCATGTTCCTGTTCGCAAAAGGACTCTGCACATACAGTAAGCTAATGGACCCGACTGACTCATTTTGTCCAGTTTCTGGGGCTGAATTTTTTTAAATAACAAGTCAACTATTAATTACCTATTTTGTCAGAAAAAGAGCAATGCCATACGGAAGACTAATCAGTCATTGTGCTGATTCTACCAACTCTGCTGGAATGCTCATGACCCACTTATATGAGAAAAGGGATGTATGCAATAATGTGTAAGCCACCTGAAGAGATGTAATAAGTACTTCTAAGAAAATCATTAACACTTAATTAACTTTAGCATGCTGTTATTATTGAAAAGGAGAAAGTTACAGTCTCCCTTTCTTTTTGATAAGAGATATATAATGGCTTAATAATGCTGTTGATAAACACCAGTGTCCCCATTGCAATCTCTTTTTCCCTTCTCTACAGAGAAATAAACTTTTTCTGTTTTAAGTAATTACCTGGTTTAATGATAGCATTGTCCGTTATATTGAACTGGGTCAATTTCTGCTTTGGGGGTATCCCGGCTAGTCTATATTTTTCCATAAAGGACTCAGGTTTCTGTAGAAAAGAAATTACCACAAAGAATTACAAAATGCAAAACATCACTTTCCCATTTGTTTAATTGTCCCTTCTATGTAAGTAGATTTCTCATCTGCACTTAAATTATTAGACAATGTTAATTCCACAGATGTACTAGATACAGAATGAAACTTCAATATTTGATTCATTATTAATTTTAATAAAATTCACATTGAACTGCATAGCTGCTTTATCTAGTTCATTAGTCTATTCAATACAGTCTACAGCTGAAATAATCATGGTTTTAAAAAGAGATGAAGATTATTATTTTGTTCCAAATTCAATTCAAGCTGTTGCCACTGAACACAGCAGCAAAGAAGCAAGTAAGCAACAGCCGAATCACAAAAGAGCTGGAGGACACTGGATTACCTGGAACAGAAGATTGCCTTGGATAACAATAGCAATATAAATAGTGTAAGCAGGACTCCTTTCTCTAAAAACACTGGGTATTCCCTCCTCAAATGTTCTCTAACCAATGGGTTTGCAACCATGGGATTGAGAGTTGAGGGCAAAGAGAGAAAAATATACAAGCTATAGGCCAGTTTAACTGACTGTACCATCAGGGTAACTGCACGAAATCACAACACCCAAGATTTGGCATGAATAGAGAATAAAGTCTCACATCATCATCTTGCCTGTGCTGAGATTGCTAATCTTTGGCATGAGAGCAATAGGATCATTAGGATTTGATTTAAATAGCAACAGGAACAAAATCTGCTATCAGGTGAGTTTAATAATGAAACAAAGCAATTTGGAGGAATATAGTTTTGTAAAAAATATTATATATGTACAAAATGTATACATATCCCTAAAGTAGTATGTTTTATTTTCAGTCAGAATCCTAAACAGTGGAGTTTTTCAAAAATAAATAACCTGACTCTGTTCTCTGGCCTCAAACAATGCACCTCTGTGAAGGCTAATTTATATTCCTCAGAGCTGTTATGTACATTAACAGCTGACTGGCAGAAGCTTACTCTTTAATGTACTGCACCATAATTCATTTCCAAAGGTAGCTATTTGTGTGTTAATCCCTTTAACCACAAGCAGTTAAAAGAACAGCTCTGCACTTAAGAGCCGCTAATGACTGTACTTTATATGTTAATCTTTTCATCTGGAACAGGAAACTTTACAAGTAGCGACTGCAATCACTGCTAAAATTATTCAAGCACTTTTTTTAAAAAAGAACTTTGTTGTATCTGAACTAAATTCCTCGAAAATGAGATTTTGTTTATTCCTCCTCAGAAAACACATTCTGGCCTACTTTTCCACAATGCCTTCATCTCCAGTATTCAAAATCATACTAAGTCGAGTATAAAATGAACTATTTTAATGAATTACTTGCAATATTCTAACAAGATCTAAGACTTTCCCAAGTTTCCCTGGTAGGGAGTGGCAACTCGGTGAGTGAACTGATTTATGTCAATTTGAGAAAATATCACATTAATTGGGCTGATTTGGCGCTATTTTCAATCCATTTTGGGTCGTTTGGTGCCAACTACTCATATTCAACTGTGAGCCATACTCCTATGTAGATAGGAAAACCCCCTCCCCTTTCGCCCCTCCCAGAACTGTGATAGGGTCGGCCCTTGTCCTCACCTTCCACCTCACCAGCCTCCACATTCAACGGATAATCCTCCGCCATCTCCAGCGTGATCCCACCACCAAACATATTTTCCCCTCCCCTCTCAACATTCCGCAGGGGCTGCTCCTTCTGTGACTCCCTGGTCACTCCTCCATTATCACCAACACCTTCTCTCCTTACCCCGGCACTTTCCCACAACAGCGTAGGAGATGCAACACCTGCCCGTTCACTCCTCCCATACCACTGTCCAGGGCCCCAAACACTGCTTCCAGGTAAGACAGTGATTTATATGTACTTCCATCAACGCAGTATCGTGTATTCGCTGCTGATGATGTAGTCTCCTTTACTTTGGGGAGACCAAATGCAGATTGGGTGATCGCTCTGCCAAATATCTCCGTTCCATCCGCAAGTGCAACCCAGATCGTCCGGTCGCTTGCCACTTTAATTCCCTTCCCACTACCACTCTGACCTCTCTGCCCATGGCCTCCTACACAGTTCAGACGAAGCACAACAAAAGCTCGAAGAACAGCACTTCATCTGCCTCCTAGGCACCTTACAGTCCTATGGCCCCAACGTTGATTTTAACCACTTCAGACCTTAAACACAGCTCTCATCTTCTCTCAGCCTTGCCTCCCCCCTCCTATAACCATTCACACATCCTCTGGGTCGTAGACGCATTTTTTCTTTCTATAATCTCCCACCATTGCTTTCTTTTATCTTGCACCATCAACCCTCTTTTCTGCTTGTCCTTATAATCTGCTTCCTTCCAACAACCCCCAGTTCTGGTGAAAGGTCTTAGACCTGAAACATTAACTCATTTTTCTCACTCCATAGTTGCTGCCGACCTGCTGTGGGTTCCCAGCGACTTCTGTCATTATTTCAGATTTCCAGCATCGGTATTTTGATTTTTTTTACTCCTATGTAGATACTTGACAGGTCATTCTAAAGATAAGTCTAAAGATATGTCAGAATGATTTACGGTTATTTTGTGTGGGGAAATAATTATCATGGATTCCCGAATGTTAAAATGCACTCTGGTAAAGTGACATTCAGAATTATGCCTATAAAAACAGTAATATGGAGTATTAAATAACAAAAAAATGTCCTGATTCCAATACTTTTCAGAAATGCTTGTTAAGTGACAATTGTCTCAGTTTAAATTAATCATAACTCACTCTCTTGGGTCATACTGCAGGCACAAGTGAATTACATGGATTATTATTCAGAGAGAGGACTAAAACTAAGCGGATGTGGTGTTGCAAACCGTGAGGGTGACAGGCGAAAAATACAAAAAAGACAGATTAAGTAGTGGGGGAAACTATGGAGCTTAACATTGCAAAGTCAGGTAGGTACACTTCGGATGCAAAAAGTAACAGGTAGGATCATGTTCAAATACAAAAGCACTAGAAAGGTTAGGTTGAAGGTCTCATGTTCATAGATCATCAAAATATAATTTGCAGGTACAGAATAATGAAAGGAACTGACAGGTTATACATGGTGACCAAAAAGTTGTGATAACTACCCTATTATGTAAAAAATTTTGGTCACACTGTATAAAGAATAACTCTTCCCTTTGGTAAAGGGGCAGCCTTAAAATAAAAGATGGTTAGAACTGAGGTCAGAAATATTTCTTCACACAGAGGGTGGTGAAGGTGTGGAAAAATCTGCCCCAGAAAGCAATAGAGGCAGAATCAATAAGAATATTTAAAAGAGAGATGGACAGAAACCTGGGTAATATAGGTATTAAGGGGGCTGCCAAGAGAGAAGTGCCTTGTGATTTCTCAAGATCTAATAAACTGGTGAAACAGCCTTGATGGGCTGAAAGAGAGGAGAGATTGATTTTGCACGAAGTGAGAGAACAAAGATGTGAACTGCCAGAACCCGACCCCAAAAAGTAAACTGTTGGTACTGCAAGAATCAATGTACCAGTAGATAATACAGGTAAGCGACCCATTGCTTGCTGAGATAGTACCACTCCACCCATTGTGCACTGTCTTCCAGGTTTATCAGGATTTAGGTGAGAAGATTCTCACTGTCCCGTAACAAGTCTTCCCCTCCAAGTTCTATTCATGAACAAGAGAAGGCTGTCAATCATCAACAGGGTCTGGAGTATTATTCTGGACCTATCTGGCTTTACTAGCAGATCCCAGAGTCCACTACACAGAGAAGACTCATCTCCAGTGTGTCACCATCAACAGACCAACTTATTTCCTCCTCCCACGAAGACAGTGATAACTGACACGGGTGGGTTGGGATTTTATTTGTTGAGGAATGCAAGTTTATGTGAAATACTACAATTAACCACTAGTCTCAAATTTCAAAACTGGGCAGTTATAGAGAAAAAANCAGCTTTTCCTCTGTTAGAAACATACGTAAAAAAAAAGCATTTCAACTGCTATAACATTCTGCCAATTCTGGTAAACAATGGCAGCCACAAATAAAGGTCTCACGATCTGGGCTTGAGCTAAAACTATGAAAATTATAGCTTTAAAAAAGACAAAGTGCACAGACTACACAAATGCATAAATAAGCTATAACTACTCAAGGACGAAATAGTGTACAAATGGAGGGGAACACTCTTCCCTGCAAACTTGTACCCTTTTACATGATTCACTACTAACAGTTGTAAAGATATTTTATTGTATGGAATGTTATCAAATCATGTTCTATAGTAACAATATCTAAACCTACATGTATAAAAATCATTCCTTACATTAAATGGAGAGGTATTCTTCCCACCAACTAGCAGCGAAGCTGTTTTTCCATCATTTTGTTCTTTGCTAATGTATGATACAACATGACAATCTTGGACCTGAACAGAGAAAGGATGGAAAACGTATAGTAAAGTGCAATCTTTTCTTTTTTTTCAATTACTTCAATATAGATAAATACAATACAAACAAAAATAAAATTTAATAATAGTCCTTGCATTTGATATAGCGCCTTATCACGTCTTCAAGACATCTCAAAGCGCTTCACAGAATATACTGTATAATGAATTGACTGTATATTTTGTGGGCAAAACAAGCAACCAATTGCGCACAGCAATGTCCCACAAACAGTCGTAGAATTAAGTGAACGATTAAAAAAAAATTTTGAAAGAATTATTACTCTTGGAAAAGGATTTCAGCAACGTGGGCCGTAGGAGCAAAGTGTTAAAAGTTGTGAAAATCAAAAATTGAAAAAAGGCAACCTTGGGTATAGGCCAGGTGTGGAAATAACTGACAATGCCCTTTCATATATAATAATAAAACTTATGTTTGATATAGAACCTCATCAATTCATCAAACCATCTCAAAGCACTTCACAGGATTTACTGAATGTAGAATGCTGTGACTGGACATTTTGTAGGCAAATGAAACACTATTTGTAAGGAATTCCTCTGGCTTTTTTAATTATTTTGTACTCTCACCTGAAGTAATGTGACAACATGTCTCTCACCCGTCTTAGTCCATAACGGCATCATCCCAAGCTTTACTGCAACAAGTCCAACCCTTTGAGCACCTTCAGCAGAACAAAAAGTATGATTTACTGAACAGATGACCAGAAATATTATTTATTAATTACTGAACAATATAAACAATTACTATACATGCATAATACATAGTTAACATTTTATGCAAGTGTATTCTTTTCCTGTGTTTGTAATTATTACAACCTACATTAACCAGAAGTACAAAAAGCCAAGTATCATGGTCCCATTTCCTAAGAGCTAAGAAAAACACTCCACCACATCAATCTTGAACTTTTGAACAACTCTCAAGATTTATTGCAATGACAACAACAACTTGGATTTATATAGCACGCTCCACGCCGGACGGCGCCTCAGAGCGCTTCATAGTAATGGATCCCGTGGCCGAGCCAGGGGGAGGGGGAGGAAGGTGACCAAAGGCGCGGTCGAAAAGAAAGGTCTTCAGCAGAGACCTGAAAATTATAAGAGAAGGGGCGAGGCGAAGGGAGTGAGGAAGGGAGTTCCAGAGCCTTGGGGAGTAGTGGCTGAAGGCACGGCCGCCGATGGTGGAGTGGAGGATTTGGGGGACAAGGAGGAGGCCAGCCCTGGTGAAGGGAAAGCAACGGGCAATGTTGTGAGGGGAGAGGAGGTCAGAGAGATAGGGGGTTGCAGAGGAGCGGAGGGATTTGAAGACAAAAGTGAGGATCTTGAAGTCGAGATCTTGACAGCAAGATCTACTGTAAATAATGCTGTATTTGTATGGAACAGATGGGCTAAATGGATGTCTTTTCCCCAAATGAGTCTCTTCTACTGCCCTGACAGGAATCTTCTGGATAACTTTTTTGCTTTAAGAGCTGTTTGTGCGATCATGCTGTGTATAAACTGGCTTCCTGGTTTGTCTACAATAACAGTCACGGCACTTGACAACAATTACCTGTGAACCGTTTTGAAACTGACATTATAGGTGCTTAAATCAAATGCAAATTTATTATCAGTGCTGTAACACTGAAATAATTCCTTCTCTCTTTCCTTATATTAACTTCTGTATGTGGTGTTTGATATAACCTGCACTGCAAATGATTCTTCACATTCAGTCTTTTATTTAACAAAATGATAATCACAGGGAAGTATTTCAATGTCTGCCCTTCGTGGAAAAGGAATGGCATCAACAAACATGTGGACTTAAGCGGAGAAAGCTCTATCAGTTAAAACCCTCCATCAGAAATGAAATGAGATTTGAGGAATTCCAAATGTTAATTGAATTAAACACATTCTGATGATGCCAGCCTAAGTTAGTGCACTCGTTATGCGTTTGCTTCCTGTTCCTAAAATCTGTAACCAGATTAGACATAAAGCAACATCATTGCCAGGAAGACCCATTCTAAGATAAACTCCTTAGCTGAGAACACCAGTGAACATTTGCTTTAACATTTTACCAAAACCATCAATAATGCACATTTTTGTTTTATAATGCCCCTAAAATATCTTTGTTTTTAAAACAAATGATATAGTATATATAATTATATAGTATTGTAAACCAGAATTACTACTGCCTTTATTGGCCAAAATAAAATAGCTCATTTCTGCATGCAAATAAATATATCTTGTTTTGCCATGAGCCAAATAGAGAAAAATAATCCTCATTTACTACCAAATTACAATTTATATTTGTATAGTGCCTTTCATATTAAGAGATTTCAAAGCACTTTGCACAGCTGACTGATTCAATCTGCTAGGGGATGATGAGCCAGTGGAGCTGAGGAAGAATAGTGGGTGGAGGGGGTGGGTAGTGGGCTTGCAGAGCCTTGTGTGAGAGTTTGGAATGGACGGCAGCTTGTGTGCAGAGGAACTAATGGATCCGACAAGCAAGGCACTGGAATAATTGGACCTGTCAAACGATGAAGATATGGATGAGGATCTTGACAACCTGGGGGAGAGAGATAGTGGCAGAGATAGGTGATGTTATAGAAGTGAGGGAAAGCCAATTGAATGAGAACTCAGATTGGGCTTGAAAGACAGTTTGGGGTTGAACAAGTTCAGAGTTTGTGAACTGGCTTGCTGGAATGAGTATTGATTGATGTAATCATGGGAGCCAAGTAGAAGAACCTCAGTCTGGTTGACATTCAATTGGAGAAGGTTAGAGCTCATCCAGGACTTGAAGACTGACAGGAAATTAGTCAGAACTATAATGGTCCTGGACTCACAGGCACAGTGTTAGGTGTCATTCTAATGTGGAAGACCTCCATGCCTGTGGATGGAGAGAGAAAGCAAATAGATGGCGTAAAGGAGAAGACTAAGGATAGAGGTATGAGGAAGTCCATAGAAGCTGTTAGAAAATACAAAGACACTGGCATAGATAAGAGTGAGACCATTGAGGTGGAACAAGGAAGAGAGCTGGTGGAGAAGAATAGTGTGTTTTACAATGTCAAAGACAGCAGAGAGATCGAGGATAACAAGGAGGCACTAGTCATAGATACAGAGAATGTTGTAGGCAACTTTAACCAGGACAGTCCCAGTGCTGAGGGTGGGGTGAAAATCAGACAGAAGGACTCAAAGAGGGAATTGAAGGAGAGAAGTTGGGGAGCGATGATTCGTTTCAGCACTTGGAGAGGAACGGCAGGTTGTATTTGGGATGGTAGCTGAATACTGTGGAGGGCTTGAGTGAAGGTTTCTTGGGGAGAAGGATGGCAATTTTGAATGAGAGGGATACTGTGCCATTGGAGAAAGAGAATGATGATGCTGACTAGCAGGGACATGAGGAGGGGAAGTTGGGCAGCCAGGAGCGGTGTGGAAATGAGATCAAAGAAACGGGTTGTGGATTTCACGCAGTATATGAGGATGGTGGGTTTCATAATAATAATAATCCTTGCATTTGATATAGCGTGTTTCATGTCTACTTGACGTCTCAAAGTGCTTCACAGAATATACTGTAAAGTGAATTGACTGAATTCATACAGGAGATGTGCGCAGTATCAACTAACCTGGTACCCAAGGTAGCCTGGCCCATGGCTCATCCTTCAATGGACAAAGTTTGCTTGCGGTCAAAGATTTATATTCTTCAGGAACCAATTTTTTTAAAAATTGATGATTTTCTTCAGAAAGATGTTCATCCCACCAGGTGTTTTCTGTGATGGTTCTGACCAGTGTTAAATATGGACCTCTAGCAAAAAAAAAGATTAGCCATAAGGTTAATCCTATACAATTTAGCATAAAACAAACAGTAAAATAAACTATTTTAAATATTCCATTAGATACTTCAAAATATATTAAAACAGAAAATATTATCCCTCTCAATCGCTCTGCCTTGCCGTCTCTTTCCCCATATTAAGATCACATCTGAAAACTTTCCTCTTTGATTGTACCTACAGTCAGCTCCCTTTCTCAGCGTCAAACTACACCATTGTCAGGTGCTGCAAGACACTACGCCCCATATAAAGAGCAGTACATAAATGTAAGTTCTTGTTTTTGTTATAACATGACGTTTCGGGTGCATAAACCCAAACACAGCTTTGACAGTCTCATATAAAGTATACACCAGCACAGACAAGTTGAGCCAAATTGCCTGATACAGTGATGTATAGTCTATGTAATGTGATGTGTGCAAATTTTACAATTAAGATGTTGAAAGCTTTTGCAAAGGTAAATAAAATCTTAGGTATCGTAGAGCAGCGATTTCAAAAATAAACTTTGGCTTTCAGTGTCCCGTGGAGGGAAGAGGGACTTTTGGGGATAGCTGGGTTACTCACTCATGCCTAACAGTGTACAAAACTATACTGTTCCATGCCATGCCACTAACATGCTCCTCTGGCGTGCAGGAAATACACTTTTATATTGGTCAGCTGGGTGTCTGACGCAGAACTCCAACACCATGCTTAATAATATCCAAATCAAACAGAGCTCCATACATCAACGGAAATGTATGGAAATTCCAGAGATATTTATTGTAATGGAATGCACACTATCTCCCTGAAGGGGCGCATCCTGCTTATTTAATTCCGCAGAGTATTAGGCACAGGCTGGCAAAAGCCGAGGCTTGGGGACCCTAGAGTGTGCTTTGGGGTACGGCTGGAGTCTAACCAGCTAAAACCGTACAGCTTGCCATCGGCATTGCTGTCCACTTTCATCACTGCTTGTCCAGCTGGGACCACGCTACCCCGTTTGGGCTTTGGTTTGCAGGGCTAACAGGCACCGAGCGGGATGACTCCCTGCCCCCAGTGACTGGTCTGCCCTTCCAGGTGGTGCCGGTGATCCCGGCAGTGCCCTGGAATACCGCGGACCGCCCGGACCAGGAACCAGACGAGAGACCGTCGAGAGGGTTGGCTCCATCCTGACATCCCCTTAACAAACATGTGACTGTGGAGCCAGTGACCCCAGGAGACGCCCTCCCTCCCCTCCCCTCCCCTCCCCCCACCGCCTGTCTGGTTGGGTTTGAGGCTGAGACTCGCTGTGGGGGGGAGGGAGGGAGGGAGGGAGGAATCTCTGCCCTTGAGGGACACGGGAGCCGCGGCTCTAACCCCCCCCCACGAAGCCAAACATTTCATATAAAAAGCCTCAGACCTGCCGGCGGCTCCCGCACACCGCAACAGCCGCCGCGCGACCTGCGCCGCCATCGCCAACAGCCGCACTTCCGCTGGTCCCGCGGACCACTGTCCGCTGCACATCCGGTCCCGCGCTCGCCAACCTTCCCCCCCCCCCCCCCCCGGAACACAGAGTCCGCGCGGAACGTTCCGGGGTGTGTGTTACCACCACCACCACCACCACACAGTGTTTATTACCAGTCAGTGTGTCAGGTTAGACTATCAGAAACGCCACGTTTCTCCCACAGAATATACAGTCAATTCCCCTTACAGTGTATTCTGTGAAGCGCTTTGAGACGCCTCAATGACGTGATAGGCCACGACAGCGCCCTCCTCGCCGGTCTCCCCTCCTCCACTATTCACAAAATTCAGCTCATTCAAAACTCCACGGCCCGCATTCTCACCCGCACCAAACTCTGTACCCCGACTACCCCAGTCCTTGCCAAACTCCACTGGCTCCCTGTCACAGAGCGGATCAACTCTTGTGTTTCAATCCCTCCATTCCTTGGCACCCCCACATCTCTCTAACCTCCTCTCTCCCCACAGCGGTACCCGCTGCCTCCGCTCTACTGGGTCCGGACTCCACCCCATCCCCTGAATCCTCCGCTACACCATCGGCGGCCGTGCCTTCAGCCACTAAGCCCCGAAACTTTGGAACTCCCTCCCTCAACCCCTTCGCCTCGCCTCCTCCTTCCCCATCTTCAGGTCTTTTCGACCGTGCCTACGTGTCCGGTTCGACGCCCAGCTGTCCTATGCCCAACACGACCGCCTTCCTCCACCTCCGCCACATTGCCGGTCTGCGAACGTACCTTACCCCAAATGCAGCCGAAACCCTCGTGTACGCATTTGTCACCTCCCGCCTGGATTACTCAAACTCTGCCGCCCGCATACTGACCCGGACCAAACTCTGTACCCACATCTCACCCGTTCTGGTCAGGCTCCACTGGCTCCCCATCACCAAATGGATCCTCACACTCGTGTTCAAATCCATGCACTCCCTGGTACCTTCCTACCTCTTCCACCTCTTCAGTCCCAAAACCAGCACCCTTACCAAAACCAGCACCCTTACCAAAACCAGCACCCTTACCAAAACCAGCACCCTTACCAAAACCAGCACCCTTACCAAAACCAGCACCCTTACCAAAACCAGCACCCTTACCAAAACCAGCACCCTTACCAAAACCAGCACCCTTACCAAAACCAGCACCCTTACCAAAACCAGCACCCTTACCAAAACCAGCACCCTTACCAAAACCAGCACCCTTACCAAAACCAGCACCCTTACCAAAACCAGTAGCCTTGCCAACAACATGTCCCAAATACGATTAATATCATGTATTTATCCTAATAATAGCATTGCGAATCCGTGAAACAGCTTCTGCGCTGATCTGCATCAAATAGGAACTTTTCCAATGTTTTATTCTCAAATCACCCACATGTGAAAAGGAGATAAACACATTAGACTCTTGCTGTTATTGATGAAATCAATTAGCTTGTGGGAAAACTCTGCAGCAGCATTGCACTAAAAAGTTATTTAATTGTTTGTATTATTTGAAAACCATGCATTCATAATTGATTACTTTAATTCCAAAATGGTATAAGGCTAAAGGAAGGAAATATATTTTGAAAAACTGTTTAAATTGCCTTGGGTACTAACAAGCAGTTGCTCTACCTATGGAATCCAAGTCAGAGACACAATCTACCCAGCATGGCCCTAAACAATTGCTTGACCTACAAACCCTAATTCCCTAGCCAACATAATCCAGCCTGATAACCTCATAGCCTAATAATCCTGTTTTGTGAATAGTGCCAATGAGAAAATATGGTTTAATAAAAATGTTCTTATCCGGCTTTCCCACTGCACCACAAGACGCTCACCTCTTTCTCCCTTTGCGATTCACTGACTTAGCCTAGCTCCCTGGTCACGTTTGTGGTGGCAGTCTGCTGACATTCTCGCAGTGCTGAGAGAGGCAAAGAAAAAGAGAATAAAAGAGTTGGAAGTTAAGAGAACTGAGTCTGGAGTTGCTTCAGTCTGAAAAAAGTGAAGTTTTTTCAGTCAGGCTATGCTATATGGTAGGGTGGCAATACATCCCCGATTTCTGGGAACAGTCCCTGGATGAGATATTGTGATCCTGGCTAAATTTGCACTGTCTTGAGTTCAGCAACAAACTGAGCAAGAACAATAAAATTCTGAAACAGATACACTCATTAGAGAAACACAGCCATTAATCCAACAAGCTTCTCCAGTACTGCCAGCATTGGATTATGGTGGGATCAATGTTTTTTATATATGTGGTCCTGGATTTGGTTTACAAAATATGGTCACCTTACTGTATGGGCAATTTCACGCCTCTGTTTACCTAGCAGTAAGTAGGAACCCGGTTAGTTGATTGGGGGATCGCTTTTCCGGGGATAATAATTCATTCAAAAAAATAATAATAATAAATTGGTCATTCAATCCATGACTGTTGTGGGATACTGCTGTGTGCAATTGACTGCCACGTTTCTCCTACAAAATGTACAGTCAATTTACTTTACTGTATATGCTGTGAAGCGCTTTGAGACATCTCGAAGATGTGATAGGCGCTATATTAAATTATTATTATTATTAATCCCACTAGCTTTATGATGGAATTTAGGTCAAATGTCCTTGACGTCACTGGGGACAGCACAGACCTTCTGCTTCATCAATTAAGAACTCATTTAGTCAGGCGCTGATTTAATTTCTCCCTTTCTTTCTGTTGAGAACTTGCTGCTTTTATGTGTCCTCACTGATTTGGGGATTAGTCTGTACTAAATGGAACCTGTGTTGCACAATACTCCCAAGTGATCAGTGCAGATGTGTCAAAGGGAACCATCGAGCTATAGAAATTCTAGCACATTAGGAGACTGCTTGGCCAACTGAGGCTAAACGGTATTAGGTGCTCCAATGGTAACTACATTCCTGTGATTTATTTCCATTTTTCCTTTTTAAATGTTTAAATGTTAATGCCTCTTTAAATGTTGTTCTGGTCTCAGTTTCAAATGTGTGGCATAGAATTTCATATTCTTATAATATGTGTGAAATACATTTCACGACTTCCACATGTATGCGGATGATACCCAACTCTATCTTTCTGCCTCCACCATCAACTCCAGGACCACTGCTGTCCTGATGCCTGTTGGACATCAAGTCCTAGATGAGGGCAAATTTCCTACAATTGAATGTGAACACGACTGAGGCCCTCCTGATTGGCTCGCGCCAGTGCCTCAGCTCCTCAAGCTCTGGCAGCATCAACCTCCATGGTTGCACACTTCAACTCATCAGCCAGTCAGGAACCTCGGTGTCTTGTTCGACCCTCAACTGTCTTTTCTTCCGCACATTCAAGCCATGACCCGCTCTGCCTTCCCTCACCTCCGTAACATCGCCCGACTCCGCCACTATCTCACCCCTCAGGCCACTGAAACGCTTGTTCATGCCTTCATCACCTCCAGGCTCGACTATGCAAATGCCCTGCTTGTCGGCCTTCCCAACTCCTCCCTCCACAGGCTGCAGATAATCCAGAACTCTGCAGCCCGTGTCCTCTCCTGCACCAAACTCCATGATCCCATCTCCCCCACTCTCACCCGATTTCATTGGCTCCCTATCCTCAGAGCATCCAGTTCAAGATCCTGGTCCTCACCTACAAAGCCCTCCATGGCCTCGCCCCACCCTACCTCTGTGACCTCCTATCCCCCTACCAACCCGCCCATTCCCTCCGCTCAGCCGGCTCCAGCCTGCTCCACGTCCCCCGACTCACCCGCCCCACCATTGGCGGGAGAGCTTTCAGCCACTCTGCCCCCAACCTTTGGAATTCCATCCCCCAGTCACTCCGCCTCACCCCCTCCTTAGCCTCCTTCAAGTCCCACCTTAAGACCCTCCTCTTTGACCATGCGATCGGCCACCCCCCTTCCCCTCCCTTCCCCCTCTGACCCCAGCTCGGGTTTGAAATGCTGTATTCTGTCCAAAGCCTTGGGACGTCCTCCCGACGTGAAAGGCGCTATACAAATGTAATCTTCTTGTTGTTGTTCTCCTCAACTTTCTTTCGGTTACAATCCTGATCCTGGCCTTATTAGTAGTTCTGCTGAATGTGAGACTACAGTCCAAGATATTTGAGTCAAGCCATCAGTGAGTTTATCAGCCAGAAACCCAAGGATTGGAAATGAATTCATTAATCTCATTTCAGCAATGACCTTTATTGTTGTCTGCAGCTTCCCCCACACCCGAACAAATGAAAAGGGTAGCTTCAGAGAAATTATTTCATCTGGTAGGGAATCCAGAACAAGGGGGCATAAACTTAAAATTACAACTAGGCCATTTAGGAGTGAAATCAGAAGCATTTTTTCACACAATGGATAGTGGAAATCTGGAACTCTCTCCCCCCAAAGGCTGTGGATGCTGCATCTTACACATTTTCAAGACTGAGTTAGATTTTTGTTAAGTTGGGCATCAAGCGATATGGGGCAAAATATGGAGTTGAAGTACAGATCCGCCATGATCTTTTGGAATGACAGAACAGGCTTGAGGAGCTGAATGGCCAACTTATTATTATTATCATTATTATAAATACACACTGGAGTGTTAAGGTCTGATCTCTTATTGCCGTTTGCCAGGCAGCAACATTGATGATCATACTGCTCAGGCAATAAATGATTATCACATCAAAGTTGCAGCATCGCAACTTCCGCATTACTTCGTTGGGAAGTAAAGCTGCTCCTCACAGTATAATGCTTTTCATGTTTTCCTCAACAGTGAGAATTGGGCAATCTATGCCTCAGTTACCTGTCGGAAACCTTTGCGTGTTCCTCCTGATTCCTGAAGGAAGCACTGTTGTTTGCTGTTCTATCCTCTTGCCAACGTAGAATTTTGTGTTTGAGATGTATCTGAATCACTTAGCTCTGTTACAAAAAAGTCCAGTTAGTATTTCTGGGCTCATATCAAAGTCCAATGTCATGTTATGTACTGGCACAGATCTCTTGTCATTTTAATGTTTTTTCCTATTACTGTAACATGTCATTGCACTGCACATTGATGGTGCTACCATCTGTTCAAGCTGTATGTACGTGGGATGGGTGTAAGTGAGTGATGC